CACACACACACACACACACACACACACAGAGGCTGTGGGAGGGGGAGGTTTAATTAGGTCACCTCCAGCTGCTAGAGCAGCTTTGGCACTGATGTATTTTAAGGAGTGTATGGGAGGCTGGGGTGGGGGAGGGGCGGGGAAGGGCCAACTTCTGCCTGGTGGTCCTAAGGCTGTTTCCTCACCCTCCTGAGCCCCACTGAGGACAAGACCCCGACGTTCAGAAAGCCCTTTCGCTGTCATCCTGTGTTCCCCGTCCTTCCCATTTTTAGGCCACCATGTCCTTTCCTCCCCGCCCCTCCCCCGACCCCATCTGCTTCTCCACAATGGGGGCTTGGGCTGGGATGTTTTTATTGGGGGAGTTGTTTTTAATCTTGCCAGAGTTGGCAAATGACTCACCCAAGGTCATGGTCTGAGTCAGCACAAAGCCAGAAATAGAGCCCCAGTTCTCCACGCCCCTGCCCTTTCTCTGGGGGAGAGCAGGAGTTTTCAGAGACTTGCAAGTTCTGTCCTCCTGCCAGGGGTGTTTCTGGACCTACCCCAAAGGTCTCCAGGGTGTAGAAGTGCTGCCCCTGACAGGCTATGTGACCCTAGCAAGCCTCTTCACCTCTCTGAGCCTCAGTTTACTCTTTTGGATAACAGGGATAATAATGGTGATTATCACAGTATCGTTGTAAGGACTAAATCAGAAAGTGGGGCAAAGGGCTTGGGATCCCACTTGGCACATGGTTGGTAATCAATAGTGCTGGCCATGACTTGCATCAGAACTTCCCGCACTGTGTTCTAGTCACTTGTTTGTTCCCTCCACTGGACTGGGGGCCCTCAAAGGGCGGGGCTGTCTCTTCTCCTTGTCCTGGTTGCCAGGCAATCGATTTCCTTCAATTATGCATATGTTTTTGATAACTTCAGGGGACAGTTTGACTGACCCTCATTAGTCATCTAGACCAGTGGCGATTCATGTAGCTGAGGAGAAAAGTGAGGCCCAGAGAGGGGCAGGCGCTTGCCCCAGGTCACACAGCACTGGGAGGATAAGCCAGCTTGCTTTCCCTGAGCTGCCCAGGAGAGGTTATTCGCATGGTCAAGAGAGGACCCAGACAGCCCTTTCCTGCCCCTTCTTTTTGGGAGGAGCTGAGAATTGGAGAAGCCCCAGCACCAGGGCAATGGTCACCTGCTGACAGGGCTGAGTCACATCTCATGGCCCTACGACGCTGTGTCTGTGTCACGAGCGTCTCCCTCAAGTTATCTGCCAACAGCCCCGATGTTTTGTTTCCGCCTCCCCTGGTCCTTTTGTCTGCAGGATCACAGGTCAGCTGGGGTTTGGCCGTCATGCAGGGAGATGAAGTGGAGCTTGGCTGGGGGGTCAGAGCCAGAAGGTGTGGCCAGGGAGATGCCCACTCACAGCTGCTCACCCTCCCACCACCGGGACAGGCTGCCCTGATTAGCCCCATCTGACAGATGAGGAAAGCGAGGCGCAGAAAGGGAGGGTCACTCAGCCAGGGCACTGGAGAGCCAGGATTCAGCCTGGGCCATCTGAGTCTCAGCCTGTCCTCTCACCCCCAGACTGCTAGTTCCGAGGGGCATTTTTCTGGGCAGGAGGTGCCCCCAGATGGGCACACCAAGGCCTTTGGGGGCTTGGCTTTAGGTCCCTTTGAGTTAAAACAAATGTTCTACAAACATCTTTTTCTCTGCATTCGGAGTTTATTTTCTCCTTTAGTTTCTCAGGGAAAGTTCTTTGGGGGAAAACTCCAGTCTTGTCTTGGCTGAACTAGGAACAGAATTTATCCTCACAGGAAGAGTAAGGATAAATGTTCACCTTTGGACAAATCTGGGTTCTGTCACTTACTTGCTGTGTGACCTTGGGCAAGTCACTTAACCTCTCTGAGCCTCAGCTTCCTCATCGGTAAGATGGAAACAATTCTTATTTCAACCTTTCAGGCCATCTGGGAGGCTGAAAAATAATCTCTGTACAGACTTGCGCTGTGGATGGCATTCAGACAACAAAAGCCTCCATCTTCATTTGCCACCTTCTGCAGCAGCTCTGGAGAAAGGATTCTGAACTAGAGGCTCACTCGGCATCCCCTTGTGTACAGCTCCCTCAAGTCCAAGGCTCCGGCAGGGCCCAGGGAGGGAAAGACTCTGTCCAAGGTCACAGAGCAAGTCAGTAGCAATGCAGGCCCTGAACCCAGGACTCTTGACTTCCCGTTCCAGGCTGCAGAGTCATATTGCCTTGGTTTGAGTCCTGGCTCAGACATTAATTGCTGTGTGGCCTTCAGTGAGTGACTCAACCTCTCTGAGCCTCAGTTTTCTCATCTGCAAAACGGAGTAATAATAGCACCAGCCTTAAAGGGCTGTTGCAGGAATTTAATAACAGGAGATGCTATGAGGGGCGGGGAAAGGATCTAGTCCTGGGGAGGCAGGGGAGAAGAGAGTGAGGGGTGAGCTTGACTCAGCTCAGCCGGGTCCCTCCTTCCCCCTACCCCCACTTCCCCCCATGCTCGACTTAGCTATCCTATCTGGGAGGAGCAACCTGTCACCCAGCGCCTACTCAGTGCTTCCCACATTCCATCCCATTTCATCCTCCTAAGAGCTCTCAGAGGAGGGGGTCTTATAACCCCAGTTTCCAGAAGAGGAAGAAAATGGAGAGCCCAGAGCAGCGCCGTGGAGTCTGCCTCCTCTACGCCCCTGCCCTAAGGCTGACTCCTGCCTTCTCCTGAGGGTGCCCCCGGGGCAGAGGGTGCAGTAGGGGAACAGCCTCAGCAGAGTCCTGTGGGGGCTGGACGCTGCTGGTCCATTTTGGGAAGCCCATTTAGAGGAGGGGGCTGCCTTCCTATCAAGGCTAACCCTGGATAACCGGTGCTTCTTTTCCTATTTCCGCTGCCTGGGAGCCATGCTCACTTGGCCTTGGCTTGGGAGGTCTAGCTGGTCAGAGCTGGGCCCAGCTCAGCTGTGTCTCCCTGGTAACCATGTGAGCTGCCGCCGCCCCTCCCCCATCGCCTTCTCTCCCCTCCATGCCCTTCGACCTCCCAGCACCTGTCACCGCCAAACACAATACCAGGCCTGGGAAAATTGTGCAGTGAGCAGTCCAGGGCTGCCCTGCTTTCCAGAGAGGGAGGCAGAGTTTCTGTCCCCACCACCTGCCACCCTCTCCCAGGCGGGGTAGCGGGCAGCCAGGAGTGCTCTGCAGGGCCTGACGTCTCGTGCTTTCCTGGCTGTGTCATCTTGGGGCACTCTGCTGCCTGTCTTCCTTTCAGTGACAGCTTTATTGAGATATCGTTCACATACCATGTAATTCACCTGCTTAAGTGGACAAGTCAATGTTTTTTGGCATATTCACGGAGTTGTGCGACATCACCACAGTCATCATCCCAAAAAGACGCTCTGTGCCCATTAAAGCTACTCCCTATTTTGTTCTCTTCCACCCCCTGACAACCACTAACCTACTGTTTGTCCCTGTGGATTTGCCTGTCTGGACATTTTGCATGAATGGAATCATGTACTATGTGGTCTTTTGTGACTGGCTTCTTCCACTAGCATGATGCTTTCAGGGTTCATCTATGTCGTAGCATGAAGCACTTCGTTCCTTCTGCTGGCTGAATAATATTTCACTACGTGGCTGTCGCACGTTTTGCTTATCCATTCACCAATCGATACACCTTTGGGCTGTTTCCACTTTCTGGCTATTATGAAGAATGCTGCTGTGAACATTCATGTATAGGTTTTTATATGATTTCTTCTCTCCTTAAAGCTTTGTTTTTTTCTCTCTAAAATGGGGGTAAAAATACTAAACTTGGCCCACCCTCGCCTCCTGGAGTGCGCTCAGTGAGAGAAGCCCCACATCAGCTTAAGGGGACTTTAAGGGGCCATGAGGGGCTATGAGGGGCAATTCTCACTCCCTCCCAGCTCTCCGGGCTGGAGGGGCACATGGCGGGGTGGGGAGGTGCCTCTAGGAAGGAAGGACTCTGAACCTCCATCCCCGGGGATGGCAGAGCCAGCTTATCATCTCGACCCAGAAATATCCCACTTGCTGTGTAATCTTGAACAGCGGCCAGGAGACCTGCTCCAGTGGTGGGGGTTGAACGGTGGTGACCTCTTGCTCATCCAGCCCTGCCATGCAGTGCTCTGGGGCTTCCTGGGCTCTGGACTCCTAAGAAGCCTTGAACTCTTCCCTGGAAACTCCAGGCTTGAGGGGTGGGGAACCAGATGGAGGCCAGAAATAGACTTGCAGCTTAGGGATTCACCTCTGACCCCAGAGCCTTTGGCTGAGGGGTTGGGAAATTGAAAGAAGTAGGTGAGGAAGTGGAGAACACATCGCCCTCATTCTTATATGATCACGGACTCTGGGAGCTCTTTATACCCCCAGGCTTAGTCAAGCCCCATCACAGCTTGGAGGGATGAGGCAGGGTTTATCAGTTTCATTGTACAGGTGAGGAAACAGATGAGGTCAGTAAAGTGCTACCCAAGGTCAGTAGCTAATATGCAGCTGAACTGGAGCTCC